GGATGGAAGAACTTTTGTGGTGTACTTTTTGTACTATGTACTTATTGATTAAGTTTCTCAATATTTATCTTCTGATGTTGTACTTTTGATTCTGAAATATTAAGCTTAGAAGAAATCAATTACTTTGCCTTCGTTCTTCTGATGAATAACTGATGAGTAGTTCAGAAACTACTTTGTTGTTGTAGCATAAGAATACAAGAATTGTCAGAACCATGATTTGTCTTCAAAAATAATAGCAACAACTTTTCTGAAACACAAAGCTTGACTTCTAATCTTAAAACTAGTCTCGAAGGCGTATTTCTTATCTGATATGAGAGATGAAGATTAAGTTAGAAGATGTTTCATTTTAAAATATTTCATTAGTGGATTCTTGTCTTCAGATATATAAGCAACAACTTATCTGAGAGCAAGTATTTTTGTTGTAGGCAAAAGCTTTTGAGGTTGATATCAAAATCTTTTCTGATGTTTGGATCCTGAAATCATATATTGTGGCAACAACCTTTCTGATTCTCAAGTCTTTGAACTCTTGAGCTTTGATTGTTCTTCTTATTGGATTGATTATGATTGAAGAATGATAGTGATCCATAAGACACTTCATTATTGTAGAGTCAAAGTCTTTTAGATATTTTAACATTGTCTTCAGATATACAAGCAACAACTAATATGAGGAATAACTTCTTTGAGTGAAAACTTTTCTGATCTATACATCTTAATCTGATCTTTGATTACTTAATAATAAACTTTTTTGAGCTGCATATCTGATGTCTGATTTCTGAAGCAAAAGCTTATGTCAGTACATTTGATTTTGACATTGAATTCTTTCTTTTTGATCTCTTGAATTCTAATCTTTGGATTGAGCTGAAAACGACAACTTATGTCAGCTACATCTTGGTTTCGGATCTTGAATTCTTTCTTTGGAAGTGTATGTGATTTATGATCTGAGAGTGGGACTTTCTTGAGAACATATTTAATTCCCTTTCTGATGAACATTCAACATTTCTTAGAACTGCTAATGTTTCTTTATAAACGGTCACAATAGTTCTTCTGGTGAGTGCAATGGTGTTTCTGATGACATCTTCATTTCTGATATCCTGACTTCATAGCTCTTGATTTTGATATTGATGAAGCTTGAGCTCTTCTTTAGAAACTCATCGAGATTCTTTTCTTGTCGAACATTCAACATTAAAAAGAACTACTCATGTTTCATTAGAAACAAACTCAATGGTTCTTCTTCTGAGTGATAAAGTGATTTTAATGATATCTTAAATAAGACTATCCAGATTTCTAATGTATGCACACTCAATGAAACCATTATAACTAAAATTGTTCTTCATAAAATATATGCATTATTATCATTAAAACATAGAGATTTAAACACAGATCCAAACCTTATTATAATCGAATTGATCATAAATTGGCCAAAAAATCATGCACTTGACAAGGTCAAGACACTTAGAACTTTTTTCTAAATGTTGAGATTTTCAACAACTTGGAATGTCAACTTTGATATCAATTTTAAGTACTTTAAGGATCCCCTTGACTTCAAATATTTTCACCATATTGAAATATGCCATGAGAGCTCCCCAAAGAGAGATTTTTTTGCAAGTTTAGGATACTTTACGAGGAATATATGATCGCGATAAGTTAGTAAATAGACATGAATTTTTGGTACTTAGAAATATTTCAAAACCCTAATTTTTAATCTTTCCTTAATTTTCTTGATTAGGCTTGATCAAATACATCCAGCAACCATATTTTCATTATTCTTGACTTGAGAAGTCCATGGTTGATCCAAAATCTCAAAAGTCAAACTTTAACTATGAGCAGTTGACATTTCCTTAGATGAATTCCAAATATTTAATTATCAATGGATCAAGCTCCTTTAGCCAGTTGGGACACAAGAGGGGGCTATAAGGATGCATATAAGAATCTTGAATCATATTTCAAACCATTAGATCATATTTTGGTCAAAATTCAACATTAAGTCCTCTTTGATCAAAAACCCTAATTTGAGGCGCAAATTAACTTGAACTTCATTAACTTGAAATGATGAACACTTGAGCTTGATTATTGATAATTAGAAATCACTTAATCATCATAAGTGAGTAAGAAGTTTGAATCATTAAGGAACACATATGTCCTTGATCAATCAACCACTTGAGCTTCTTGATCCAACACAACTTCCTTGTGAAAGAAGCAGACAAGACAAACTTTTGCATTCTTATGAGTTTAGTAATACAAAGACAAATGCAATGATCTCTTAATTTTATGCAATATGCAAAAAGAGGTGGGATCTTAGGTCAAAAATTGGGGCATGACACATGATATCAACATTTCAGTTATATTTATAATGTGGCCTCGTCTCCTAAGGTGATAGTTCGAGTGCGAGTAGTTAATTCCTTATTATGGGGAGTTAGTGAAGTGTTGCCTATGATGATGATAGCGATTTGTTATGATCTAATTCAAGAGGAACCAATATCCTATGGTGGTGGATCATGGTCCCATGGTGGTGGTTCAGGGAGCGAAATGAACCTGTGTGCTCATAATTAATACCATATACATTGAGTTAGTGTTGGTTTGTTGAAGCGGTAAAGAAGCAAGCAAAAGTAAGTATTTATTTAGTGGATACAATAAACATACGAAAAGACCGGGTGAAAATGGATAAACAAGTTAAAAAGTGAAGATTTTAGAATTTTAAGAACTTGTCCTATTTTAACTTGTTTAAACAAAGTTCACCACTCTACCTACTACAATAAAAACAATAAAACATATTTGTTTTACGTCATTAGCTCGACGCCTTTATTGTGCTAGCTAATAACTTCCTCAAATCATGTCATGACGTTGCCACACCGCACAAACCTAAAGAAATTGTCCTAACCAAACACTTGAACAAAAATTACGAAAACAAGAAAATTCACAACAATACTTGAACAAAATTAATACAAAACACATTTCTACATAAACTTAAACACAAAGAAAAACAAACATCTATATGCACAAGTACGAGAAACATGTAAAAATTTTAAGTTTGGAAAGCATAAACAAGTAAATACACAAGTATACATATACAAGTTCATATACAAATTCTATACAACAAATTCATTATGTACAAAACTCAAAAATAAAGAAACCATCTATGATACAGTGGGAGAACTAACTTTACTGATTTTGCATTTTATCGCAAATATTGCGGTTAGCAAGAGTCGCCACCGACTTTTCTTTTATCCAACAAAGGAAAGGGTGAAAAGAACATGAAAAATCTTTTTTAAAGATTTTGAGTTCGGGGGGTAGATTATGAAAAGGGAAGGTGTTAGCACCCTTTTCATCTGTAGTTATCTACGGGCTCTTAGTTGCTAGCTCACTTTTGAAAATGCTTTGTGTTTGTGTATTTTGAATATATTTTTAAAAAGACGCCTTAGTGCGACGAACTTTGTAATGTTTCTCGTATCGTTCAGAATGTATACAAAGTGTTTCTTGTCTTTGAAAATATTTAGAAATGAGTTTGTGTATGTGTGAAAAATTGTTTTGTTTGTTTTTGTGAGCAAGCAACTATAAGCGGTCTACCTACTTGAATGGTCTTTGTTCTTTTCTTATTTTCCCTTACACAATACTATCTTACTATTGGTTAGTAGGTAGCCCTATCGTTGGATGTTTTGAGGGACAAACGAGGATCATCGTATAATCACGAAGGTAACTCGTAAGATACTTTAGCAATTACCCTAAGTTTTTAAGATCATTTACCGAGGCAACATCGAAAAAGGTCATCGAGGGACTTATGATCTTTTAAACTAGAGGGTCGCTGCTAAAATCTCTTACGTTCGAGAGACGTGACTGTTTTATTCCGAAGACAACAAGTGGAGGTACCTTAGAAGTGCGCGTGTGTGAAGTGTGTTGTGTTTCAATTATGTTTATCTTGACTGTTAGGTTTGCTAACATTTGTTTTTAAGTCTTTCTATACAAACCTATTAACATACATATAGCAGTTAAATATATACAAGTACGGAAAATAAAGTGCGAAAAATTGAATCTACGCTATTACATCGCTTCGAACAAATTGTTGTCGATTTGATGAGTTTATGACTACTCATATAATAAATTATTTAATTGATATACATATATAAAAAAATTTAATTGTGTCAATAAAAAATCAAAATGTAAATCAATCTCAATGGTTGAATTACTGAAGTTATTTGAATTTAGGCAAATTTATCTTGAAATATAATATATGTAAAATATTTTTTAGACATCAACCTATTCCAATTATTAAATTACTGAAAATATTTAACTTTAAATTCTAATTTTAAAGTGATATAAGTTGTGATTCATTCATAATGTTAATATAATCAAATGCAAAAACAAAACATCAAGAAACGATGCTTACCATCTGACCATATATTTAAGTTGTTTTACTTTTTATAGGATCAATCATATAAATTTAACGTATTACTTTCAAACTTCGAAGGTGATACACGTTCACTCACAAGATATATTTAAAAAGTTCATCTATTTTTAAACTTTTTCTTGAAAATCGTCAAACTTTTAAAAAACAAAGTATAATTGATTAAGATGATTATAAAACCAATTATGAAACAAAAATCACTCTCTAATCGATTAGGGAAGTCATGTAATTGATTATGAGGACCTAATACATTATGATTTAACAAAACTTTTTTTAAAGCATACCAATTTTTTTAATATCTCATTATTTTCTCATTTTACTTATAATTTTCATAATAATAAATTAAAAAAAATAAAATATATATATATATATATTCGAAATACATTTTAAGGTTTTGAGAGGCATTTTTTTCAAAGATATGTATAAAGGTGTACTTGTAAATCTCCAAATTATTTTTAACAAAGAAAAAAGAAAAAACATATCAGTGTAATATTGGCACACACAACCCTTACGCCTCTCTTAACTTCGTGCTCGACGAAACCCTCGCTGTGCACCAGTGCCTCTACCTCTTCAGAATCTCATTCTTCCTTTTTCCATCACCATGGGTACGTTCTTTAAACGCGAATTTTTCACCATCTTCTCAATTTAGCTTCGTTTATTTCTTCCCTTTCCCCCCATTCCGTCACCGTTTCATCTTAATCTCTCATATATAGGTTAGATCTACACGTTTCCAGTTCTTCATACACATTTTTTCATCAATCGGTTAACAATCAATCTTGCTTCGTTCTGCTTGATTTCTACTGATTTTGTGTTGAATTACTCAACTTGTACTTCAATTTTTTAACCTAATTCTAAGATGCAGCAGTAAGCTGATTTTGCATGTTATGGTGGTGTTTGATTTTATAATTTTAACTATTTTTGTGATTTTTTGTGTGTGGTGATGGTCTTTATTGTTAATGTTTTATCTTTGTTTTGTTTGAATGGTAGATATCGAAGATGACATTCGATCTTTACAGCTTGACTCAGCAGGTAATCTACAGACTAAGTTTTTTTTTTTGTTTATTTGTTTACTTATTATTTATGGATGGATTCTTTGGATGGATGTGTATGTTTTTTTGATTTTTCTATCCAATCTTGATTATGATAAAGCAGAAGATGTTAACGGGGTGGTAAATCCAGAAGATGAGAAGCCAGATGTTGATGATTTAGATAAGATGGATGAAGGTTTGTTGTTGGGAAGTAGTTGGTTTTGTGTTGTTTTTGTGCTTTCCATTTGCATGTTTATATTTTCCATGAAAGTAAATATCATTAACATCAAATTTGGATTTCGTTTAAAGTATCATCATAATGTCATTACCAATTTCGTTTGTCATCAATGTTTTTCTGCTTCTTACATGCATGGGTAAATATCTTGTGCAGTAGTAACTTTCATTTCCCCTAAGCACAATCACTTTATTTCTCAATTGTTCAGAAAGACGGTTTTGATGTAGAACTTTATTGTTAACAGTTGAAAACGAGACTCGTAAAAGATATTCTAAAAGTGGGAAACATATGCATTCCTCTTTTCTCTCCCTTTTCTTCAGGTCTCTTTTTATATTCCCGAACTCACAGGGAATGGTGATTTCACTATATTGGCTCATCTTCTTTGAATGAATGATTGTTAGCCGAAATACATAGACTATTCCCAAATCGGTCTCATCCAATATATGACAAGCTCAGTTGTGTAGTGTCTGTTTGCTTTGTCAGAAGTAGAGAGCCTGCTTGCCTATTATTCCTATTGTTGTTAAGTTCATATATGCTAGCTCAGTTGTTTCATCCAGCAATGAATAATGCATTAGTTCTTTCCGTATTGATTGTTGATTGTTTTATTGGTTGTTTGCTGCCTATGTTATTTGTATATTCCTCTAATAGTATATCAAAACGAGGGAGATTGAGAACATCATACGAGGAATTTTAATTTGTCTGTTTCAGATCCTAAGCAGGAGGTTCAGGTTGAGGCTGTTGAGGCCGAGCCAAAAGGTATTGAAAATTTAGTTTTCTAGTATTTCAAAACATTTGTATTGTACATTTAGATTGCTGTTTTGAAATTAGACAACTCAATGCCAATTAAGATATCAATGTCTATTTTCATGTTTTCACTCCATGACTTTGATTTGTGGCAAAAGATAAGGAAATTCATGCTGTTGAGGCTGAGCCTAAAGGTATTGAAATTTTACTTTTCTAGTATGTTTAACATACGTGTTGTACATTTAGATTGCTGTTTTGAAATTAGACAAACTCAATGCCAATTAAGATATCAATGTATTTTCATGTCCTCACTCCATGACATTGATTTGTAGCAAAAGATAAGGAAATTCCTCCTGTTCAAGTTGAAGAAGTTGAGCAGATGGAGAAAAGGCACTTGAATGTTGTGTTTATTGGGCATGTTGGTAAGTTGATGAATCCCACACGGTTGCTTTACCAGTATATATCAGCTACTACCTGGGTTCCATTTTGTCTTTTATTTAGCCTTTAGTTCCGTTGTCTTTTATGCAGCTTTTATCACTCTTCAATAGATCAAGATTATGGTCTTTCATGTATATCATATGTGCATCATAAAGGATTGAATGTCCATTGATTCAACTGCATTTTAGATGTTGGTCATGGGCTACTAAAGGGGTTGCCCTTGTTGCTTTTTTTAACTGGTTACTTACTTTCCTCTGGAATTTTTTATTTTCAAGACAGAAGAAATGAATGTATCCTTTGTCTGGATGATGGGGGTTTACTCCTCACTTGTTATCCATGCGGTGATTGACATGTAATCTGTATATGTCTAGTAACTTGTTTGGTTTGATTAATTTGGGAGGATAATCCATTTTTCTATGATGGTTCATAAATAAACTAAGCCAATCTCAACACAGACTAAACTTGTTTTAAATAGGTATGCACATATCATTCAACATGTTAGGGAAAATAAAAGACTTGTGCTAGTAAGAGAGGTGAGGTGGAAGAGAATATGCATTTAGGATTTATTGTAAATGCCCAGACATGTGGCAGCAGGGGAGACAAGTCAGGGAGGTGTGAATTCAGTTTTGAAATAAACTGCTTAGAAGAGGGCAGGGGGAGAGAGGAACAGCAGGGAGAGAACTGTGTAAATAAGAGATATTGGGGTGGTGGGGTGATGGTGGTAGGGATTGAGTCCTAATCTAAAATAGTTCTGTTTTTTTTTTCTTCCATATAGCTTATTTCTGGTATAAGTTATAAGTAGCTAGTCTCCCATCCTCCTATTTATCTAATATAAGAACTCAGTTCCTGTTACTTTCTTTTTTCACATGACAATACATTTATCTTGTGATTATTCTACATTTCATTCCTTGTTTAAGTAGTATAAATAACAGATTTTAAAAGCTACCTTTCTTGCATTGTCTATGTTTATCAATAATTCAAGAGCCTATTTCTGGTGTAAGTTGTAAGTAGTTAGTCTCCCATCTCCCATTTGTCTAATATAAGAACTCACTTCCTGTTACTTTCTTTTTTCACACGGAGATACATTTATCTCTGGATTAATCCACATTTCATTGGCTGTTTAAGTAATACAAGTCTTTAACATATTTTAAAAGCGACCTTTCTTGCATTGTCTATACGTTCCCGTGTTCATTCAGAATAATTTTGTTCTAACGGTGATTTTTTCTTGTTCATCTTTGTCTAGATGCTGGCAAGTCTACAACTGGAGGCCAGATACTTTTCCTCAGTGGGCAGGTTGATGATCGAACTATCCAAAAATATGAGAAAGAAGCTAAGGACAAAAGTAGAGAAAGCTGGTTAGCTCACTTACTTTGTTTCCCTATTGAAATTGTTCACGATCCCAATGCTGCTTTGCTGCCTCATCATTTCTTTGCTGCTTTGCTTACTGCTTTAAATTTATATGCCAGGTACATGGCTTATATTATGGACACAAATGAGGAGGAGAGAGCAAAGGTATGAATAGATTTGCTGATAACATTTAATTGGTTTATCCATTTTAATGTAGATCTCCCACTTTTTGCTTGTTAATCATATGAATTTGGTTAGGACTCATAGTAAGAGTAAAGTTGTGATAATTACAGGGAAAGACAGTTGAAGTTGGAAGAGCACACTTTGAGACAGAGACAACGAGGTTCACCATTTTGGATGCACCTGTGAGTATATGTATTGCTTGATTCTTTTCAGACCAGTTTTCCGTGTCTTGGTCATGCATATTTTGGTAGAGTAATAATAGTTTCCCATTTTTGATTGATTATTTAGCGAACTTTCTGACTAAATCATCCTTTGACTTAATTGTCACCGTATCTTTAATTGAAAGTAGTATCATTTTATGCTTCTTTAGTAAACATTTAACATTAAATTACATTGTTTATCCAGGGCCACAAGAGCTATGTTCCTAATATGATTAGTGGTGCATCTCAAGCTGACATTGGAGTGCTGGTAAGTTGATATGTGGCAGTGATTCTGTTTCTTGTTCTTCAGCACATGCTTCTTCACGAGCATTTGATGATAAGTTTATCTTTTCCTTTCCCTGTTCTATGGTCATCAATCAGGTAATTTCTGCCCGGAAGGGAGAGTTTGAAACTGGATTTGAGAGAGGTGGACAAACTCGTGAACATGTCCAGCTTGCCAAAACATTGGGTGTAACTAAGCTGCTCGTGGTTGTCAATAAAATGGATGATCCTACAGTAAACTGGGAAAAAGAAAGGTTCTCTCTCTCCCCAAACACGACACTGACACGGGTGGCACCAATAATAATTTGAAAAAATGTAAAGTTAAACGTAATCATAAGTGTCGGTTCAAGTGTTTGACACGGACACAGACACACCTTCTTTCAGAGGTGTCTGTGCTACATAGCTCTATGTCTATGTATCTATATTTACTATTTATTTATTTACGAGCTTATACAAAACTGTAATGAAATATCTTACTGGTGGTGTTTCATTAGGTATGATGAAATCGAGTTAAAGGTGATTCCATTTCTAAAGCAATCAGGATACAATGTAAAGAAAGGTATCTTCTGCCTTTTATTTGCCTTAGAATGTGGGAACTTTATTTTGCTTGTTTATTTGATTTTTCTTTTTCTGGATGCTGGTGTAAATGCATTATAAATAGTGGGCGAGTTATGTTGCTTTAACATTGGGAACACGCTTTATATAATTATGATTTATGAACATGACTGGGGTTGACAAACTGTCTACCATAGTTCACTCCTAAGAATTTCCTATTCTCGTCTAGCGTGGTGGGGAATGTTGTATCTTGCTGGATGCTCTGGAGCTTGAGACATGTTGAAGTTGGTTGAAAGGTTTGTAGTTTCTTTGTGCACTGATATGTTGAAGATGGTTGAAAGGTTTGTAGTTTCTTTGTGCACTGAGATGTGGGTATTGAGTTCTCAAGGGATGAATGAAGGCACACTATTAACCTATTATATGGGAATGAATAGAAGCTTTGTTCACTTTTAGGAAAATTAGGATTGAGATTCGAGGTTATTTCGGTCGTGCAAAGGCTATTATTTTCCTGCTCTGCAATATATTGTGTGGGATTTGAAAAAAATTATAAAATGGTCAGAGTGTCTCTTTTTGAAATTCATTAACTACCAATAATTTCATATTTTGTGCATGTCTTTACCAGTTTAATGGATTATGCAAATGGAGTTATTTTAGTATTATTTTTTTATTTAACAGATGTCTCATTTTTACCAATATCGGGGCTCATGGGTTTTAACTTAAAAACTAGAATGGATAAAAGCACTTGTTCATGGTGGGACGGGCCTTGCTTATTTGAAGCCCTTGATAGTATCGATGTTCCTATGGGAGATCCCAAAAATCCTTTCAGGTATTGCATTTCTAAACCATTTATTGCTATCTTTTCCTTCCTAGAGGTCCAGTAATTCTTTATTTTCAAAGCTCATCATTTTTTGTTTTGCAAAATTGAACTTCTGACATTTGCAGGATGCCTATAATTGACAAGTTCAAAGACATGGGAACTGTTGCTATGGGCAAAGTTGAATCTGGGACTATTCGGGAGGGAGATTCCCTTTTCGTTATGCCTAATAAGGTAGTGTCTGTAGGGTGTTGTTAGCTTTGTCCTTCCGTTCTTTCTTCTGCCTTTTCTTCTTTAATGAACTAGGCAACAACTGCACATTTTTTTGTAGGATCAAGTTAAAGTTGTTGCTGTATATATTGATGAAAATCGGGTAAAACGTGCCGGACCTGGTGAAAATTTACGGGTTCGATTATCTGGTGTTGAAGAAGAAGACATATCAGCTGGGTTCGTCCTTTGTAGTGTTGGTAAGGATTTCTTTTCTTCTGTTTATTTAATGTTGCCGGAAATGAAAGAAGCATCACAGGATTCACGGCAACAGCACACTTTAGAAGATATTACTAGGCTTTAGGGTTTATTGATAACGTGTTTTAGAAATCATAATTAACAAACCATTTTGATGCATTGTTTAAAAGCTAGTTTATTTTGGTAGTATTTCATTTCTTCCTGTTATATGAAAAGTTTAGCCATGCCATGAGATCTTGCCAAACTAATATACTAGACCTCGCAGTTCCCATTCCAAGCAGTTGCAAATTGTATTGATTTCTTTGAAATTCATCCAAAAACTGTAGTAGGTTTAAAAATTTGACTTGATCGTTACGGTTCCTGATGGTGACAGATCTTTTCCCATGATACATGTGCTTCTAATTATAGTCCATTATATATTGCGATTTATTTCATTTATGTTGAGATCCATTTGTTATATGGTGGTTTCTTATGCATGTTTTGTTTCCTCCCTTTTGCAGCAAATCCAATACCAGCAGTTACCGAGTTTGTTGCACAGTTGGCAATACTTGAATTATTGGACAATGTGTGTATCCTCTCTTCAGCTTATTGGAAGTTAGAAGTAATTTCTATGAATTGCCAACAAAATTAACATCTTTACATAAAATTTGCAGGCTATTTTTACTGCTGGATACAAGGCTGTTCTGCACGTCCACTCTGTAGTTGAGGAATGTGAGATTGTTGAACTATTGCACCAAATTGACCCAAAGACAAGGAAGCCTTTGAAAAAGAAAGTTCTCTTTGTAAAGAACGGTGCTGTTGTATTATGCCGTGTTCAGGTGCATTTTTTACACCATAAATGTGGAAGCTAATTTGCATATTTTTTTATTGGTTGACAATCTTTTGTTGACTTGAAATTGCTGCAATTGTCATCATGTAATCCAGAGGGAACTTGTTCAGATATCGCAGTCAGCCTCTTAAAAGAGTATAAACACCTGATATACTCACAGGCTATGCCCCAGAATACTGCTACTGTAGTCTTAAATCCTAAATTCAGTTACTGATGATAGTTATGTCAGTCACATTAGCATAACTGTCAGTCAGATAGCTGTTATATTCTGTAGTGGAATTAGTTGTTAATTAGTATTCTTCTGTCAGTTTAGAATATTTTGTGACAAGCATAAACATGCTGTGCGTCTAAGATTGATTTAATGAAATCATTCCTCTTCGTATTTGGGTTTGGGCTTCACCAAAGAGCTAGCTCATGGGGTGAAGGTTGCTCCCCACTTATAACCTCTATTTAGGTCATATCACTATTTAATCAATGCGAGGGTCTTGCAGCCAGGACTGATATCTAGAGCATGAATTATGCAAAATGTGACATCTGCTGGTGGCCCAATGGGTCTAGGATAGACTATCTTTCCATCTTAGAATGAGTTTGGGTCTAATTCAACCCTAAATGCTAGCTTGTAGGGCAAGTGTCTCCAAGTCTTTATAACATTACAAGGACTGGATACTTGAGGTTCACCCATGGCTTCCAATGTGGGGGCTCTTAACAATTTTTTTTGTTTTCTTCTGTACACTCTTTAATACAACAACGACAACAACAACTAAGCCTTATCCCACTATGCGGGGTCGGCTACATGGGTCAACTTTCGCCATAATGTTCTATCAAGGACCATGCTTCTATCTAAATCATTAATTTCGAGATCTTTCTTAACAACTTCTCTTATAGTCTTTATGGGTCTTCCTCTTCCTCGAATAGTTTGTCTTCCTCAAATAGTTTGTCTTCTGTACACTCAAAACTGATACTTGAGGATCACCCATGGTTTTTGTGAGTCGGCCACCACCATCACCGTATGTGCCAATCACCTTCTCGTTGTCATCTTGGAGAAGTTGGATGACACGGTCTTAGTTTGGAAACAGGTCAAACATGCATTGAAGAGACACTGTCTACCATTTCTCTGTGAATCCAGCCATTTCTATGAGCTTTCAGTCAGAAGATTGGAACCTAGATTTCATCAATCTGGCATATACACAAACTGTGAGAAACAAGACCAACTATTGAGCCATGGTTGCAGTCATCACCTTCTTCTGTCATGAGTCTGTCTTCCATGAACTCACTGTGGTTTTGACCCTCTCCTCAAACCTGGGCATTTGTTACCCCAGGCTGCCCTTTTTATTACATTACTGCAGACGGACTTACCAAGGCTATGATAAGGCTGTTACATCATCTTGAAATGTGCTGAATAGTTTTGAAGTCTTGGAGCGATGCATTCATCGCTGATGCTCGTTAGATTTTCTTTTTTGTTTTTCATCTAGGCTTTGTTAATTAGTGCCCAAGGGAAGAGCTGTTTGTGAAGAAATCAAAGCATAAACATTATTTAATGAATAGTATGGTACTTAATATGTTGGTCTTAAAAAGTTTAATTTTTCATCTTTATTATTGACTCTTTAACAAGTGCCCTTGAGTTAGTCGTTAACATTTGACTTTTTATTTGTAAGAGTTTATTTTCATCTTGTATTGGTGACATGCTTGCAGGTTGGTAGCTTGATATGCATTGAGAAGTTCTCTGATTATCCACAACTAGGGAGGTTCACTCTTCGCACGGAAGGTAAGGATTAAGGCAGATTGTTCTAATTGCAAATGTGTTTATGATACTTCAACGCGTTCAAACTGTATGACATACTCTTTTCCTGCAGGAAAAACTGTTGCTGTGGGAAAAATCACTGCTATGTGAGATTGTAAAATTTTTGACCTGAGGTAAAAAAACAACATTTCATATGCATTGTTTGACCCGTCCTTGCTTTTTGGTTCTTGCCTTTGTTTTTTCAAATTAACTGTGACTAATCATGGATAGCATGACATTCCTGCAGAGACAAATAGAGTGGCAGCATTGGGGCATATTTGACAGCATTGAGTTTGCCATATATCAATTTCATTTCGGAATTTCTTTTGCTTTATCTTGGGGAAGTACTCAATGGAGAGTTATTTGTTGCAGCTGGTGCCCATGTACTTATTTGTATCTGGCTGTACAAGGCCCGGTTGCTTCACACTATTATACTACTGGCTGGCTTCCAACCATACTGCATGTGATATATAAATTGAAATGGATTGTTTTGAGTCGATCCACTCGATTAATCGAACAAATTTTCTAGTCATAGTTGACTAGGGCATATTTTACTTATGTTTGATAAATGATTTATTTTTACTATTATATTAGTGAGTAAACCTGATAGAATTTTGTTGAATTGAAAATTTTAGAGTGGGATTTATCTTCCTAATTATTTCGACGATGAACTAATATACCCCGAAATTCAAAGTGGTTGAGTTTTTCATGAGTGAAACATGTTTAGTTATTATTAGAGTAATTGAGGCACGTTTCCTAGTAGCATTCCCCATTATGTGAAACTAATTTGCAAATGCTTACAAGAAAGCACTACTAATTAAATGACACTTCCAATTATTTAAAAGGGATATTATGATAAATTGATTCGTTATTAATTGTGTAAAATTGCTGTTTAAAAATAATTTGGAGGTAAAATAATTTATATTTATGTACATTGATTTAAAAGTGAATCACGTAACGTGAAGATTAACTTTAGAATCAAAATAATTCTAAACACAACTAATTCTTTTTAAAAAGTAATTAAAAATAATAAAACTAGTCAATTTAGGGATTAACTTTATGGTAGTGTGTATGGACGAAATTTGTTTATTGATAGAGGTCAAATTCTAAAATGTATTTTGATATTTCTCAAGATGAGAAAGATCACAATAGTTAAAAATGAAAATTCCAAAATTTTCTTTTGACGGATTAAAAGATAACGTGTATTTTGACAAAAGAAAAATATTACAATTATTTATAAAATTATAAAATTATACCACTAAAAAGAATCTTGAAATAAAAGACAAAGGTCCAATAGCGAAATAAAAGGAAAATGCATAACACGTAGTTTCCTTCTCTCTTTTCTTTGTACAAACGATTCCATACAAAAAAGTTTTATTAGATATTAAGATTGTGACCTTGATTCATATTTTCAGCTGTTAACTGTTCTTCTATTTAAAAAGGAAAGTGATCTGACCTGATCAGAGTTGAACCGTCACAGTTGATTTCGGGCTGAATTTGAAGGAGATGAGGGTACCTGCAAGACACTCCGATGATAAAATGAGAGGCGGAATGAGCAAGTAAGTATGAACGTATGTGTGAATAAATGAATATCCGACCCTCTCATGAGAGAGGGTATTTATAACCCCCAGCGCTGGGCCAAGGTCTCCACTATTGGGCCACGCAGAGGCCCAATAACGGGAACTGTCAGAGTTTACGTGAGTATAGAGTCCAGCAAGTGGACTCCCCCTAGTCAACCGCTCCACGAGAATAGAGTTGGACCCGAAAATCCCGGAGAGCAGTTTGATATGTCCGTTGAGAAGTGGTGGACCACGTCCCCCAACGGTTAGATGGGGAGGTGCCCCACAATCTCTAACTTGGGCCGTCTGGGCCTTTTGTTCGTAGGGAAAATGTAAGTCCAGTCCAGATCAGGAGCCCCCAAGTTATTGTCCTCGAGTTAGAGGGTGATGACTTGAGTTCAGTTCTCGTTATCGAAGGCTTGGTCGGGGTAGAGGGTCGAAGTTTTCGAAGGGAGCGGATCGTTGCCCGCAGGGGGCAGACTCAAATACGTCGGGGAATACCATGGACGGACGGGGATCAGGATCGCAAGGTTCATCCGCCTGCTCGAGAGGGCATATTGGCGGTGAGGGCCTTGGCGAGGTCCCCTTTGGCATGCCCGCCTCCTGGGAGTTGTTAGTTTGTCGAGTATTTCCTCGTCTCCGAGATGGTCAAGAGAATGTACCCCTTTGCACACTCTAGTGCCGAGCACCTCCCCGTGTAAGTGTTAGCCTCCTACGTTTATGGGTGACTTGTAGGAGTCAGGCGTTTGCTCGCCAGTCCAGAAAGGATTTTGTGTTTGATGATTAAGCCACGTGGCTAGTGTTTTTGGGGTGCCACCCTTTAAGAAAAAAGCAAAAGGGGCCAATGAGGTGATGGCCCTTCATGTGGGATCCCTTGGGGCGTGGGTCGCCTATAAAAAGGGGACCTTTGGGATTCATTTGTCATCTTCTCAAGCTCCCTTTCAATCCTTCCTTTGCTCGCAGCGTGAAGCGGTTCTCTCAAACCTCTCAGCTTTTCTTCGTTTGTGGCGTGAGGTGATCCTCTCAACTTTCCAGTTTTTTCCTCAACGTTCTTCATCCAAGTAAGTTATAACCTCTCAATACCACGTTTCTTGGGCTTTTCTGGATTAAATATCAAAAATTTATCTTGATTGGATGAATATCCATGAGTTTTGTGATGAATGTTCATGAATGTTCATCTGAATTCATGGGTTTTGTGTCGGGCACTCATGAAGATATCAAACACCCATGAACAAACATTCATGAGTTTCATAAATATTCACGAATGTCCATCTGGGTTCATGGGTTCCGTGTCAAGCACTCATCAATATGTCAGGCACCTATGAACATTCGCGTTATAGTGTCGGGGGGATCCTTAGGTTAGTATGTATCCGGGTTTGTGCTCAGTGAACTATTCCCCGACTACATGTCCTCGAATTATAATGGTCTGCTTTAGCATGTCGAGGGCTTGGGTCGAGTTCGTCGCCCTTTCACTTGATCTGCGATGGAACGGTGGATTATCGAATTCACTAACTTCCCCTGCTTTTCAGGTACAATGGCACGCTGTCGAGGGAGCGACATTCCGGCCACTCATCATGACGATGAACCCCATAGCGACGAGGAGGATCCTTTGGCTTGGGTTGCTCTGAAACCCAGGGACAAAAGATTGTGCTTTTCAGGGACGCGACAAACGCGTTTAACTGCCCAGAAGAACGCACAGAAGGGGCTCCGGCCAACTGGATGCTTCAGATACCTCACGGGGACCGAAGGATATGCTCGGCGTATCCGGGAAAACGGTTCCCAATGTATGAGTTTGCTTTCAAGGAGGCGGGGATGCATCTGCCTTTTAATGATTTCCAGGTCGGGGTTTTCCAATGGCTCCAACTGGCACCTTCTCAACTTCATCCAAACGCGTTGGCATTCATGCGGGTGTTCGAGCTCGTCTGCCAATACCTGTGGATAGGCGCCACGCTGCCCCTTTTTTTCCGCATCTTTCACTTGCAGAGACAATCTGTCCACGGGAGAGAAGCGTGGGTCTCCTTTAGGCAGTTCAGGAAACTCTTCCAACCTTATCTGGAGTCCGTGCGAAATTTCAAGGAGAGGTACTTCGTCGTGAAACCCTTGACGGGTGCGGCCATAGATTCTCTCTATGCCCGGGTGGAAGAGGTGGAGGACGGGCGGCCAGTTACCCGACTTATGGCCTGATTCTCGCTTGAATAGCAGTGGAGACATTACGAGCAGAGGCCCAAATACTATGCGATGAGACCCGAGGATTTGGATGCCCAAGATCAGCTTTCGTACGAGAAGTTATCTTCTTATGTTAAAGGGTTCTCCCCTGCGAAATGCATGGACATGGATGGCGCCCTGTTGTTTGACGAGGAGGGGGGTATCTCTTGGTCAATAGGTTGATCAATATTAAGTCCTTGCTCGAGTGCTCCTCGAATGGGGAAGCCATGAGGCTCTTGGGTAAGGCGTAGCTGTTTATTTGCTTCTTTTATAAGCGGGGATATGTCCGCTCTATTTTTTATTTTTCTAACTCGACTAACGGTCCTCTTTGATTTGCAAGTCGAATGGCGTCTCTTTCCGAGTGTTTGCTGAAACCGAGGCCAAAGAATGCATCCACTTCTGGCCCCCGAAGCAGAGTTGCCCAGCTCCAGGAGCAGGCCAAGTCTACCGGTCGGGGTAGTGGTTCCCCCTCCTTCTCGAAAAATCTTGCTTCTTCTGATCCGGCCCAGATTCCAGTCAACAAACCCGTGGCCAAGAGGAAGCGCGAAGATAGCACTGCGGGTATACAATCCGAGGGTGATAAAACATCCGCGGGGGTTTTTGTGTTGCCTCCGTGCTATCTAAACCGCGACCTCTTCCGCGATGGGGACTCCCTCGGCCTGCACGAGGAGGAGAGAAAGGCTATTTTGACTGAAGACAAGGAGCTTGGCCGAGGACGTGGCTGTTGTGATGAGGGTGCTCGAGACAACCCTGTCACTTAACGACGAGTCCTCAAGTGCTCAATCTGCTCTCGACGCGGCTTACGCCAAAATCTATAAGCTGAAGGTCAAGAATGAGAAGTTGAAGGGTGATATCCTCAACCATGAGTCAAAATATGAGGCCCAAGTCCAGCTTCTCAAGGATTTAAACGAGCTGAGGCCTCGCTTGGAGATGACCACAAGGGAGAATGAGCGTCTGGCCGCTCGTAATTTAGAGCTGGAGGGGATGACTGCGCCGGTCGAGGACGAGACCGAGACAGAGAAAAACATGGCGACTCGGGCAGATTTGATTGCTCGTATCCGCTTGCTCGAGCAGGACGTCATTGACACTCTTGGATACGGTTTCAACGTCATCGTCGAGCAGTTGAAGATCTTGAATCTCGGGGTTGAATTAGTGGTTGAGGGGGCGGGGCCGTTCAACCAAGTCGTTGACGGGAAGATTCTCTATCCCCCGGAGGACAGCGGCGGTGAAGATGAAGTTTTAATGTATTTAGTTCAGGGCCTGCGTGCCCGTTGTTATTTTAGGGCCTGTGTGCCTGACATTATTCTTTTGATTTTGAGGCCGTCGTGCCTAAGTTGTAAATTTGGA